TCTATTGGTAAATACTCATCTTCCGCGCAAGCTGCTAGATGTATACAGTCCTAAAAACCAACATTTATTCAATAACTTTTTACTTGAATTACCTTCAACCCTAATTCGAAATATTGAAAGTTGTAACCATAAAACTTTGCAGTTTCTTACTACAGTCCCACATGCAGCAAAGACCGAATTCCAGAAAGGATGCCGAATGCTGAGGCCAATAACAGAGCAGCTAATTCCCAGACTTTTAAGTGACTAACATTAAGTAAAAAGAAGAAAATTCCGTAATATTGCTAGCTACAAAAGATACAGTCGTTCACTCTTTAAAAAAGCGCTCATTCCCAACACAGAAAAGATTTCAAATAAATAACGATGAGGAACTGAGTGTAGAAAAAAAAAACAATTGAAGATGAAGTTGCAGAAATTTCGAATTCTTTTTTCAAGGAGGAAAACGCCGAAAAAAAGTTCTCTCAACAATCGAAAGCGATAATGAATTAAACTAGATAGAGAAATGAAGAAAGGGCGAGAATGAGAACCCCAGAGAAAAATTACTAAGGGTCATTAATCTGCAGTTAACTGAATGTAAATGTAGTCTTACAGGAAAAAATTCCTATCAATATTGTTATTCACTACAAATGGTAAATTTTGAACAATTTCGAACAGCTCAAATTGCAGACTAATTCTTCGTTGAAAAAATAATTCAATATGAAAGAATTCCATTTCGCTTTGTCCCATCATATCTTCACCCCGTCTTTTACTGCGTTCGGGTTCATAATCCGCAAATACACAAAATTTACTCTAAAATTCGGCTTCTTTGGAAAACCAAATGCTGTTGCTCGCTGGTCAATAGACATTGCCGCCTGTATCATTGGAAGTGGAGGAGGTTTCGTCTCCATGTGTTCGTCTAATTGTTTTACCCATTCCTTTTCCTGGTCACCAGCGAAACGGGAAAAAGATTTCACTAAAAAAATCTACTCCAATACGTGTCAAGAAAATAAAAAAAGTGCGATGACCTAGAAACCTTAACGCTCATTAGAAATTTTCAAAAACAAAGGACGGTTCTCCCGGAAGGTAACGAATAAGTACAAACAAACCAATAAGGCCCGCAGCACTACAGTCCCAAATGTAAACAGAAGGATTGCAAATCCAAGTCTGTAGGTCATAAATCGACAACGGGATGTACTAAAAGCCATGACTACAACAGAAGGAACAAAAAATTGATACTTTTCGAAACAAATCAACAGATCAGATATATACATTATTAACGCTGACTTTCACTGTCCTTGAAGACGAATTCTAGCTACAGTATGAAATTACACAAAGAAATGCAAACCTGCGTAAAGCTCTTATTGAAGACCCATAACTCGCCATTTTCCGTAGGCTTTGGTACACCGTGGCCATTGTAATGGAAAAGAACTCGCTCATCTTTGGCATTGCGACGCATTCCTTGACAAAGCCGACGAACCTCTTCCACAGTAGGATCCGTTGCAATTTTGAACCTATAATTACAAAATTAAGTCATTAAAACAGAGAGATTGTTACCTATTTATCGTTGGTTAACTTAATTTCGACTTTTTAAATCCCTAACCGCAACTTCACCACGTATTATTTCTTGTGCCAGCGGCTGTAATAATTATATTGAACATGCATAATAAAAAGCCCTATTTCTTGCAAAGTTAACATGAAACAAGCAAATAAACAATGGTACGAAAATCATGTCAAGTCGCATAATATTATAAACTCGTCTCCCAGCCTTCCTTCCAACTAAATATGGAACTCATTGCTGTGAATATAAAGCAAAAAAAACTTTGTTTGAAGTAAATATATAACAGCACTAAACTTGTTAAAATGCAAAACACCACCAGTTTTCGATTACAGTAACCT